GCTCTGAGGAAAGGGTAACGCCAGAAGTGCTCCGAGTTGGTTGTTTGCTTCGGCCAAGTTAATTAAATGAAATCGCCTAATGAGAGACGGGCGAGAGCTGCTCCCGAAGCCCCGTTGCCCAAGCCCAAGCCTAAGCCCAAGCCCAAGCCCAAGCTGGGGGTTGACCGGCCGGCCGCAGAGTGCATTCACCCAGTCCCAAGTGACGAGGGTTGAAACACTTTCGACTAGGCACAGCCGCAATATCCAATGGGGTGGTTTCGACGCTGTCGCCAGTCATAAAATAGTCAAAACATGAAACTGAAAACTTTGCCAGCGGATGCTGTTGGCTGTACCCAAGGCAAACGTAGCATGGGGGCCCAGTTCAAAGGGGGGTTGCGAATTGTTTAGCCGGCGGTAGAGGGGGCGCGGGTGGCAACTAGATGAGCTGCCTCGTAGCCAAGGGGTGTGTGCTTACAAGTGGTTATCAGTACGCAAAGGCAGAGCCGGTGCCCGTGCCCGTTGCCCCTGTGGTTGCCAGCCTCCTCCTTGTTGTTGATTTTGTTGATGCGTACAAAAATTTCAATATGCATCAGCAGGAGGCTTATTTTTTCGCAAAGCACGCGTAACAAGAGAAGCGATACCCTAGCTTTTCGTATGCCCTTGTAGAGGGTAATATAATTTTGTCTTGAAATGTGTAGAGGAGACGTCTGCGAGTCCATAAAGCATATACATATTCTAGATCGGGCAGTACATATATCAGAAATGGTCGGATCGTAGCACTATATCATATAGCTGCCATAGGAACGATCAATCGAACAGTAGGAAGACTTTTTTGTCTATCAAGACAACTTGACCAACTCGGGCATTTAGTAATTGAACTATGCTTCAAGAATCGTTTGAAAACTGAGCTTTTGTATGTTTATTTTCTGTTTTCCAATATATTTTCTTCGAACTCAGCTTCATTCTTTTCACATATCCTCAAAGCCTTAAGGCTAATGTCTACAAGGGTATTCAAACCTCGGCGTGACAAAGATATTCTAATTTTCTCGTTTTCCTTTTCTTTCTGTGCTTTTTTGGTTTTTGTTTCGAAGATTTGATCGAATTTCTCTTGTGCTTTAGGTCTGAGTTAAGCAGGAATTTCTCGAAGAATATTTGATGTTCAGCAGGGTTCGAGCTCGCAAACGACCGCATTATCTGCTAACGACTCTACTCATAATAACAACTAATTATTGAGATAAGACCGAATTAAAATAGCAGCACAGAAAACAATCGCAATTGCAATACTGTTGATATAATTCGAAGCAAACGCGCATGAATGTGTGTGCGTACATGTATACAGAAATTCTTGGAATCCATATGCGCAGTAAAACTTAACTTTGCTTTACGAAATCTTAACGAAATTTTCTACAGTATATCTTATTGTACCATAGAATATTTGTGTATTCTCAAAAGGTCAATTGCATCAAAATTGTGGCTTAAATTGGTGGGCAATTTTAGTCGGGTTTTTAACTTGATTTATAGCTCTGCGGTGGTAGCGGGGAGGTGGCGATAGCTATAAAATGAAAGATACTTGATATATATATAATATTCTAGAAGCAACATATCAAGTTTGGTGACTCTAGCTCTTAATATTTACCCAATTTGCTCAAAAAACCGGATGTCGATATCGATTTCTATCGATTGCTTGGAAACAGAGTAAAATATCGATTATCGGAAACAAACTCGATCTGCACAGGCACTAGGAGCATCTACATCTAAAATTTCAAGTATCTAGCTCATACGGACAGACGGACGGACAGACAGACGGACATGGCTAGATCGACTCGGCTATTGATGCTGATCAAGAATATATATACTTTATGGGGTCGGAGATGCTTCCTTCTGCCTGTTACATACATTTGCACAAATACATAATACCCTTTTTACGCATTTTTAATGGGTTCAGGGTATAAAAAACACAGAAAATGTGCAGAAATGTTGGGAATTTAAAAACAAGCCCGATCTGCAGTTGATGTAGAAGCTTCAGACTTCTTTCAAAAAGTTAATATACCCCACTTGAGCATAATTGAAATAATGAGCAGGCCTGGCGATTTCTGGCTAAGCGACGCAAAGTATGCAGCACGAATCGTGGCAGCTGGCAACTGTCAACAATGCGGTTGGTTTTACTTAATTGCTGCATTTAAAATGTTAGTATAAAGGGCGGAGAGCGGCAATCAGCAGGAAAGAGGTAAGAGAAAATTTATATATTTATATGCAAATGTGCGAGTACTTAAGACCACACAATGGGCAGCATTAATAGCATCTGGGTAGAGAGATATTTGTTGGAGCTAGTCGACGGGCTTGTGTTTAGATTATATGAAACTATTTCAAATTGCAAAAAGGCGTGTCAACAACATTTGAGGCAAAACGAACGGTACCTTGAGCCGGTTCAAAGAACAGGCAAATTAAAAGCTAAGCCCGAACCATGTATTATCAAAAAAAATGTTATTTTTCATCAATTGCAAATATTATTGCAAGACTTTGATAGCTACGACAAGAGTTAAAGTGCGCTGAATATAAACAATTTACCTACTTCGACAAGTGGATATATATAAATAATATTAATTTAAGTTAATGGTAAACTGAAATAAATGTGATGAACCAAGGCTCGCGATTAAGTTCACGATTCGAACCGTAACACGTTCTGCATATCGAAGTTTATGTTGTTTTTATTTCTACAAATTTTACAAATAACCCACAATATGGACTGCAAGCCGGTGCGGAAACGAAACTCCCAGAAAAATTTGTTAACCATGAGCCAAAGCTTAAATTCAAATGAACCAAATCAAAGGGCAGGCTGAGTTGGTTGCAATCGTGAACCGAACTAAAATCATTTTTTCTGCTTTGTATTTACGGACCCGCCCTGCTGTATGTTTATGTTAATATAAATACGAAACTTGCCCATAGTGCGCAATTATGGCAGAAACTCACCTGAAACAATTAAAGCCTCATTTGGGCCCGTTGTGTGTATGTTGCCCATGCTGGAAGAATCTGTTGTGGGCTGTCCTCCTTGTTGGATGTAATATTTAAATGTGTGCACGTTTTGCGTATGGCAGATATTCGACTATGCGTGTTGGCTAAACAATAACAATAACAAAATGGCATAAATAAAACAAAAGCGAGCAACAAAACCGATATAAATGAAGCGGAGCTTCAATTCAATTGCCAGCCCGAGTGGTAGGCAACACTTTTTGTGCCACGAGTGTTTCCTGTGCCGCCGGAAAGTATGCTACACATTTTTCCCTATTGCGCTTAAGCACGCTTCTATTTTATTCATTTATTTTGTTGTGCTTTTGCGTTTGCTTTTGGCTTTTGGGCGGCGGCAGCGTCAACAACAGCAATCAGTGCAATAACAATAACAACAACAACAACAACATTAACGACAACTTGTTCTCGGCAATTTATATGGATAACACATGGGTAAAACACACCAGCACAGACATATTTCCATTAATAATTATTTTTATCAAGATTCCCGCATAAATAAAACTAAAAACCAAACAAAACAAAAAAAAATGAGTCTCGCGATAATTGAATTATTTTGTTTCGATTTGATACGCACGAAAAAAAATATACACATACGAAACAAAATTCAAGCACCTACTCACAGCAAAACGCACGCTATATAAAATTAGAACAGCAACAACAACAGCAACAGCAACAACAACAACAACAATATCTAATGGCGTCCCATAGAATGGGTCTGGTGGCGGCCGCATGACGCAAACATTGAAGCATTTGGGTGGCGCAGCAGCGCAGCAACTGCGCTGCGACGTCAATGTGATGGGAGGATGTTTGATATGTGCTGTGTGCGTGTGCGTGTGTGTGTGTGTGCGTGTGATATAAAAAACAAAAATATTGAGAACAGACAACGCGCCACCTTATCATGAGCTCATCTTCAGCTTCTCATACATACATATATATATGTACATTATTTAGCTTAGAACAAAAAGCAGCACAGCAAATGCAACAATAGAAACACACACACACACACATACATATACACAGAAAAAATAACCCCTAGTTGCCGCTGCTGCTGCTGCTGCCGCTGTTTGCGTTCTAGTTGGGGTAGCTGCCGCTGCTGCTGCTGTGCCGAATTCTTATTGGAAGTAAACAAGAACTTGTCGTTTATTTTTATTATTGAATTGTTATTATTGCTGCCGCCAAACGCAGCAAATGCTCCGCCGCTCAGAAGGCGCCAAAAAGAGCAAAATAATTATGAGAGAAAAAAATTAAACGATACGCGCGAAAAACTAGCGGCACTTCACAGATTTCGCTTTCAGATGCACCCACATTTACACTTAAAAAAAAAAAACAAACAAACAAAATAATACCGTTTGTAAACGACAACAAGTAGTACGCACCAATACACACGTTCGCAAACACTTGATTGTTATTTTATTTGTATTATTTATGAATTAAATGGAAGGCGTCAATAACCACGCGCAATTGTTCCGGCACTTTACCGCAGAACTCCGCAATCGAATTGGCAATGTTATATTTTCTATTAAGACTATCGATGTGTGCGCTGCTTGCTATCGAAATGTAATGGGATTCATCGACAAGTGTGACCAGCTTGCCGCAAATGTGTGCTCAATTTTGGCATTTTATGCAACACTGCTGTAAGCGCCTAATCGATTAAACGCCAGACTGAAAAATCAATATAAATATAGCAAACAAATTATTAAATAAAATCAACAACAATTGGGAATTCAAAAAATTGCACTCAAGACTGCAAAATACGCTATTTGTTGGCGAATGCAAGACAAATATGCTAGTATTAAATGTATTCTGATTTTATGCCCATATTAAATGAATTGAACTTTCAATTTAGCGCCATAAAACAAATGTTTGAATGCGAAAAGCGACAGCAATAAATCGAATATTTTCAACATTCATTTATTTTGCTCAACTCGCGTTTTGTAAATGCCGGGAAACGATTTTGCATGTTTATCGTTTATCGATAAATCGCAATTAGCTGATTTTAGAGCAAATTTTGGCCAATTGTCTGAGATGAATTTACCCAACGAACCGCAGCTAAACTGTTAAATTGAAAATGCCGCGCTGTTACCTGTGCAACTGCAGCTTCGCGGACGGAAAGGTGTACGAGCACATGTTCGAAAAGCGCTGCAGTGCGTCGGGCGACGAGCAACAAACCCTGGCCAACATCTTGGCCATGGTGCTGGGCTATCAGCTGCAAGAGGATCAGTTGCACTCGACGGTGAGAGCCTGGCTGGCAACAATATAATAATAATTATAAAAGATAAAGAGATTCTTAAACCATGCCTCTCACCTTTCTGGCAGTTCGTGTGCAGCACCTGCAAGGTGAGCCTGCTCAACTATGAGGAAATGGAGCGTCAATTGTTTGCGGCACGTCTGGAAATAACGGAGCTGCACAAACGCACAGTCCGGCTGTATGAGGCACGTCTCAAACGGCAGTCAGAGTTCCTCAGTGACGAAAACAGTTTGGAGTCGGACCTGGTCGACGACCTGATCGAAGAGTGTCCGGAGCCAACGGATGCGCTTATGGATCGTTGCTTTGAGGAAAGCGAACTGCTTGAGCAATGCTCCGAAGATATGAATCTGATAGAGCAGTGCTCCGACGATACGGATTCCGTGGACAAGTGCTCCGAAACAGAGGACGAGCAAAGCTTCAGCCCGCAGCAGACAGGTGATGCACAGTCTCGTACCATTACCCGCAATGTAATTTATAACTTTTGCAGTTGCAGTTGCCGCAGTTGCACGCCCGAACAGCCTGAGCTGCACGTATTGCGGCAAGACGTTCGCCCGCCGTCAGGGTCTGGAGGAGCACGAGCGCGTCCATACCGGCGAGCGGCCATACAAATGCGCCCTGTGCGGCGCCAGCTTTGCACAGCGTGCCAATTGGCGCACCCATCTGCTGACCATACACCAGAACCAGGCGAACTTCAAGTGCGGCCAGTGCGAGCGCAGCTTCAAGCGCAAACGTCTGCTGGAGAATCACATCAAGTCGAAGCACACGCAGCTGCGCGACCTCAAGTGCGAGCACTGCGAGGCGACGTTCACGAATGCGGTCAACCTGCTGAAGCATCTGCTGTGCCATAGCGGCGAGAAGAACTACAGCTGCCAGATCTGTGGCAAGCAATTCAGTCGCGCCGAGAATCGCAATGTGCATCATTTTGTGCACAGCATACGCAAGCCATATGCCTGCATTGTCTGCGATGAGGGCTTCATGCGCAAGCAGCAGCTCCAGCAGCACATTGTCGAGCAGAAGCATCCCAATCCGAAGATCGTGCGCCGAAAGCCGCAGTTCAGTGCGGCCAACAGCGACAAGCTGCTCCAACGGCCACTGGGCGAGGCCAACAAATGAATCCCGACGACTTGGATGTCCAAGATCGAAAACAGAACTGAAAACAAGTCATCTAGCCAACAAGTATTTAGCCACAAATATGTTATTTCGTTTATAGGAAATGCAAATATATGGCACATTTCATAGATAGCCGGTTCTCCTTTCTCTTTTTAACTGATGCTCGCCAACATGCTATCTCTTTCTTTGCACAAAGTAAACATTCACGTTCAGCCGGAATATGCTCGCTGCGTGTGCGAGTGAGGCAGCACGAAAACAGTGTTGCACAACGGACTTATTGCTTGTCAATATTCGAACAGCTGTTTAGAAAATACTAACAGCTGTTTTAGGCTCTGTGCCATTGTGTATATATCATTTTCAAACTTATCCAGACGAAAATAATTAATGCTAGGGAGAGCAACACTGGACGCGCTGCGTTGCCAGACTGCAAGCACAAGCCAAACAAATGTGCTTGATGGCCAGACTGATGGAAACCCATGAAGCTGAAGGTAACGGTAGTTGGGATTATGACCAGCTATTGCGAGTTAGTTTCTTATAAGTCCGCCTCTTTTCAATCTTATTTGCCAAGGATCTATGTAAAATGTTAGGTGCTTTTATGGAGCGCGTGAGTTTCCAGGAAGTGGGCAAAGCCAGTTAATAATATAGCTGCTAATTGCAAAGGGAATACATCCCGGATGATGCCATTGAAGCCCTCCATGAAATACAAGTAATAATGATCTTTATTGCGTCCCGCTGCGGTTCCGCTAGTCCAGACTAACAAATGGGAGAAGATCGAAGCATCATTTTGGGCTTAACTTGCAATTTGAGGCGAGTTTTTGGATATGATATCGCAGTTGCTTTCCTTTTCTTAAATATACACACACAGACACACACACGAGCATATTGAAACTGTGAATTTATGTTTGTATTGTTGAAAAAAAAAAAAAATGACGTTTGTTTCAGTTGTTTAACACCGGCCTGGGCGTCTGGCGGCTGGCGACGTACACCGCCACTGCCCACGTTCCAGAACACATTTTATTCAGAACGCAACATCTTCTCCTTTTGGCGCTGCAGCTTCTTCTTGGAGAGCTTCTTCTTCGTGGGCTCATCATCGGCTGCCTTGGCGACGACCTCCTCCTTCTCGGACAGGATGACCTCGACGTGGCACGGCGACGACATATAGGGATTGATGCGACCATGGGCACGGTACGTGCGACGACGCAGGCACTGAGCGCGATTCACCTGAATGTGATCAACAACTAGGCGATCGGCATCGAGTCCCTTGTAGTCAGCATTCGCCTCCGCATTGCGCAGCAGCTGCAACAGAAACTCGGCGGACTTCTTTGGCCAACGACCCTGCGTGGTCTTCCACTGTTTGGCCTGGGCGCAACGGCCAACGCCACCATTGAAACGGCGGAAGGGCACGCACTCCTTCTGATCGATGACGGCCTTCAGGAAGCGCTGGGCACGACGCAGGGGCATGCGCTTGATGGCCTGTGCTGTCTCGTGCGTGTTCTAACAAGAAAGGAACCAACATATTAACAATATTACAGAAAGTTAAAAGGGGCAAGCGAGTAATTGATACATGTGTGTGTGTGTGTGTGTCGCTTTGTGCCATGCTACAGGTAGAGACGATCACATTAAATGCTAATCGCCGCTGTTTTAACATGCCTGGAAGTTTTCGCTATGGGCGCATGCATTTAAATAATCGCTTGGTTATGCACGATCACAAACATAATGCGCCAGTTTTGATAATATTTGAGCGTTGTGCCATGCTACAGGTAGAGACGATCACATTAAAAGCAAATCGCCGCTGTTTTAACATGCCTGGAAGTTTTCGCTATGGGCGCATGCATTTCAATAATCGCTTGGTTATGCACGATTACAAACATAATGCGCCCGTTTTTTTTTTGTTTCCAGTGTGACTGTCCAATGGTAATTATCATTAGTCAAAAAATCCTAGATTTTGAGCGTTGTGCCAAGCTACAGGTAGAGACGACCACATTGAACGCTGCTCGCCGCTGTTTTAACATGGCTAAATTTGTTTTGGGCACACTTGAACTGAAAAGGCACGCGTTAAAATGCGCGCATTTTACACATTAAAGTGCGCCCACGACTTGGCTTTAATTAGGGCTGTGGACAAGACTTTAGAAGAGCGCGACGTGGTCTTTATATTATCGCCGCGTTCAGCTGATGAGCTTGTCCATATTGATCTAGCAACAATGCAAAAGTGAAAACCTGCATTTAATTTGGCAGACGATTCACTGATTTATGTTGCACACGCTCGCTCACACACACACACGCACACTACGGCCTAAGCAGAGTTTTGCCAATGTCAACAACAACAACATATTTGGCGTCCGTCTGCATCCGCAAAGGAGCCATCTTTCCGGGAATGCTTACCTTGAAATGAACACGTAGATTGGGACCGCGCGCCTTGCACGACTTGGTGGCGTTATCTGGCTCACGTGAGTAACGGCCCATTATTTAATATCTACAAAATATATATAGTAAATGCCAATGCGTTAAATCACTTCAACAAGAAAAAAAAAATACATATATGTTTTGTATGTACACAGAAAAAAAATAACACAATTTTTGCAGTCAATTTGTGGCTGTTTGTATTTGCATAAGCATTGCAATTTCATGCACACAGCAAACAGCACTTTATGATCTTTTATATTTTACGCGTTTTGTTCGTGTATATATATATGTTATGGCGATGTTTAAAAATTTATTTGCGGCTTTGCCAATTCAGCGTACCTCCTTCGTCGTGTACGAAACCGGAAAAGAACCTTTGACAGTCGATGGGCGGCCATGCTTGATATGGCAGCGAATCGTTATCGATACAACACAACACACAGTGTTGCACAGCGTGCGTGTATATGGGTGGCAGCTATCGCACACAGTGTTGTATTCAAACCAGCAGCTGTATATATCATATCAGCGAGCTTTCTGTTGTGCGTTAAAGATAAAGAGCGCGCGCGCCTTTTAATTTGTTGTTTGTTTATTAATTTAAATATTGAAAAGAGCGCAATTGAAGTAATTTCGTCTAGCCGCAATATGTTGCTTTCATTTCCTTCCGCAGCAACACATTGTGCGCATTCACAACCTGCACAAATTGCTCATGAGTGGTACTTGGCACAACCACAAAACGTTATTCATTTAAGCTCCAATCGTTTAGTTAGTTGCTTCCCCACAATTTCTATATTACAATTCTGCCATTTTCATATGTACTTACAATGCAAATTAATTGAATTAATTCAATTTGCTGCCACAGCGTTTCGTTGAGATTTCATCTGCTTATTATACTTTTCTGTTTTCTTTCCTTTTTTGTTTACGCTCTTTTCGACTAGCTGCTGTCGTTGCCGTTTACACACACATATATATATATATATATATATATATATATATATATTATATTTATGTGTATAATCAGGAGAGCATTCTTAAATTTCCCATACATTTCTTGCGCTCCATGTACTTAGTTAGTCAGCGCGCATACTTGATATCATTTCTGCTTAGACTTTATCAAATTCACAAAAAAAAAGCATAGAAAATAATTCGAATCAGCAGCAGCAGCAGCAGCACTTGAACGAAATAATGCAATAAATGTTGTGGCAAAAAGAAAAGAAAAGGAAATCATTTGAGGCGTCTGTTGTTTTTGTTGCCCCACCGCTGGCTCTGGAGCCTGCGGCTCAGCTCAGCTCAGCTCAGCTCGGAACGTGCACGTCGTCAGCCAACGGGCAACATCAGCGCCGACGTCGACGCCGCTGCCGACTGAGACAAATCTAATTTACATGATCGCTCGCATTATCGTCCCCATTGTATTATAATCACGGCAACGACGACGGCAACGGTGACGTCGACGTCGACAGCGACAGCGACCTCCGTCTGTGCCTGCGCCTGCGCAGCTAATCCCGCCCTCATTGTTATACCCTCAGCCTATGGAAAATAGGTGCAGCGGCCATTATGATTCCCTGCAAACGTATGTAACGCACGAATATATTATATATGCATATATATGCCTTGTTCTTAGCATATTTGTCTGTCCAATCTCAGGAGCAGCTCTTTCCTTCGAATTATCAACAAATTTCATCGCCATTATAATAATAATCACTCGCAGTTTTCAAGAGCTGCAGATACCAAATTTTGTATGCGGCTTTTCTTATGGGTTAAATGTATACAGAATATTCCACTTTCCAGATGCCTGATATAAGAAACTTATTTTTTCTGATATTGCCTTGGGCTTTGGTATAGATTTCAACTTTGATTTCATTATAAAGCCCTGAAAGTTTCAACGAGATCGAACAAGAAACACTCAAGTTATGCGAGAACTTTAAGGAATCTTCATCTATTATATGAAGCTGAAGGAAGAAAAAGAAGAAGCACAGCAGATGTGTGTGTGGAAGGAAGCTAGAATCTTAGCAATGTCAGCTTGGCTCCTGTTTAGGGTATCTGCCAGTCTGCCAGACTAGTTCCGACTAGAGCGCTGTTAGTTGTTGTTGTTGCCGCTGTTGTTGTTGTTGTTGGGGCTGTGGCGAGTTCAGTGGTTGGCGCTTCCTAAGTGGATGACACTCAAGCTCATTGAGCGCTCCAATCTGGCGAATCGGAGGCGAATCGGAGGCAGATCGGAGGCAAACAGGGCAGGGCAGGCAGCGCTGCTGCACCTAGCTACACAGTAGATGCCGCTGCCGCTGTCGCTGCCGCAGCCGCAGCGGCGGCAGCAACAAATTATAATACGAGTAAACATAATACAACAAATACAACAACAACAACAGCAACAACAAAAAAGGCATTCGAGTGGCTCTCGCACAGCGCACTAAACAATGCGAAATTTCTGAAACTGAATTTTTTTTTTCGTTTTGAATTTTTGTGCCCAGTTTTAAAGTTCAAGCCGCGACATTAACACACGAAATCTGCGATTATCCGTTGAATCGAAGCCTTAGCTATATCTCGCCATACACACATATATCTCCCTTTCACGCGCGCTCTCTCTCTCGCTCTCGCTCTTGCTCTGGCTCTTGCTCTCTCGCTCTTACCATGTGCATTTATATGTATTTGCCCTCTCTGTCGCACACGCGTTGTATTTGAAAATCGGTTGGTTTTTTTTTTCTGTTTTTGTTTACCGTTCGCGCAGCGCGTTTTCAGAG